ACATTATTCTATTCTAATTGTAACTACGTAATATTTTGTTTCTTTGAATAATGATTCCTGTTTTGTAACCACAAAGTACTGTAAGCCTGCCAAAATGAAAAGTATATATGATCAACTTCACAAGTAAAGATTGGGATCAACACCTTCACTTTGGTGTCTGTGTTGTTTCTCCACCACCTCTTTCCCCGACTCCTCACCATCCGTTCGTCTCCTGAGACCCGCTGTTGGAGCTGGTCTCCGACACATTATATACTCTGGAAGTGTGCTTGCTATATAGCAATAGCTCATTTTTGTGACTTGATGTTTAGAATTATATTACAGTAACTTAAAAATTATTAATGATCATTTGGCTCAAAATAAATTAATTATATAGTACAAAGAAGCTTATAATCATACGCTCAATAAGGAAAAGATACCCTTCAATGTCATTTTTATTATTTCCTTAGTCATCTCTATTTTATAAGTTCATAAGACTTGAAACCACATTTATTTTCAGTGTTATAAACTGTGCATCCAATTTTAGTTAATGTTTTGAAATGTTAGTATAATTATCTTCCCTCTTACTACTTTCTTCATATAACAGCTGATTTCCTGCAGTTTTTATTTACCTATTTTCTACCTTTTTATTATTCTTTAGGTATCATATTGTCTTGGAAAAGCATTTCCAGAAAAATTATTGGCTTTATGTTCTTTTTTCTGAACTCAAAAAAACAAAAAGACACCTAATTTATAAACCCAATTTTTTCTTTGCAATTGCTATTGTCCTCTATCTGGAAGACCTCTATTCTTCTTGATACCATTACCTCTGACTTCTGTATCAAAAAGATTGCCCTTCTCCAAGTGTGATGAGGGCAGGAGGAATGTTCTGTCTATACTTGTATGCCCAGTTTTTAGTGCATAGTAAATATTCCATAAATATATGCAAAGTGAATACATTGATTCATTCTGCTTTTCTGTAAGGAAATTTGGTTCTCTCAAAAATCCAAGCCATCATTTTACTATATACAGATGATAATTATGTTATGTTATTTACATTTTTTTCTATTTCCAGTATACTTTGTTCTCATAATTCCACAAATAGCTTTTCAGCTCCATGAGAACCACAAGCTGGATCCCTCACATCTTCCTAGAATAAATAATTGATATTTGTTGATAGATTAACTGAAACAGTTTTTCCTTACATAATTTCCAATAAAACTTGGGCATAATATGTTCTTTAAGTGCTTGACAACAGCCTATGATTAGATAAAATTCTGTGGTAGAATGAAAATCAACTGTTTTTTAGAGTGTATAGTATGTAGCTCAGTCCCTCCCTCCCTCTTTCTCTCACTTTGATAGAGTGTGTCAAAGAATGAAGAAAAGCTCAGGTGCAACCCTCTTATCTCACTGAAGTTGAGTAATGAACTATACCATATTTTTAGTAGCCCAGGTCAAGTCACTTTGAAAGCACTCATAACTATGAGTGCTAACACTGGTCAATACCAACATGGTGCTTTGGTTACGATATGGTTTGAGTGTGTCCCACAAGGTTTTTTGTGTTGGAAGTTTAGCCCCCAGTGTAGCAATGCTGTGGGGCAGTGAACTTTTAAGAGGTAGGTCCTTAGCTGAATATGGTGATGCATGTCTGTGATCCCAGTCTTGGGAGGCTGAGACAGAAGAATCACCAGTTCAAGGCCCAGCCTTAGCATCTTGGGAAAACCCTGTCTCAAAAATAAATACACAAAAAAGATCTGGAGGATGTAGCTCAGTAGTAGATCAACTCTTGGTTCAACCCCCAGCACTACAAACAAAAAAAAAAAAAAAAGAGGAGAGGCTTTGTGGGAGGTGTTTAGGTCACTGGGGATGTGCCTTGAGGAGATTAAAATAGTTTTCCTGGGAATCCTGATTAGTTCTTAACTAATGTTCCCACTATAATGATGCCATCCATTATGAGGTTCATGCCAGACCCAGTACCAGCGCTGTTTGGACTTCCTGTAATGGTGGTCCACTTTATCCTTTGAATATAGCCCTTGTTGCTCTGCCACTGCAAATTATTAGTATTAGTTTTGTTTTGTTTTTTGGTACCGGGGATTGAACTAAGGGGCATTTGACCACTGAGCCACATTCCCAGCCCTATTTTGTATTTTATTCGGAGACAGGGTCCCACTAAGTTGCTTAGCGCCTTGCTAAATTGCTGAAGCTGGCTTTGAACTTGAGATCTTCCTGTCTCAGCCTCCTGAGCCACTGCACCCAGAGGGTGCAACTCATTTTTAAAACCACATGCTTCTTCCTCTCCCTGCTCCTCCCTAATCTCTCCCCCTCTAATCTCAGGGGGAACAGATAACCTTTCTTCTCCAACCTAGGCAGTTATCTGTCCCTGAGTACACACTCACCATAGGAATGAAGTAATCCAGACTTTGTGGATGGTACCAGAAGATCTCAGAAATGACTATCTCCCTTAGAACTCCAGACAGAGAATGTGTGGAATGTAGCCTTTGAGTCACCTCTTTAAAGCCCCCTGTTCCTGCTAATGGGCAGAATCACAGTTTTTGGGACAGAAGTTCCTATGTTTTTCCTTTGCTAGCAAAGGAATAAATCATCTTTTTCCTTTCTTCTCTAAACCATGTCCTTGTTATTGGATTGGCACTGGGGACAAGAACCCAGATTTCAACAACATTCCCACCTCCAAAACTGTCTTCTTTACAAGTGACTCAAATTCAAACATTTTGTTCCAGTAATGGAAAATGGATTAACACACATGGAAAACAGAAAACAGTAGTGAGCAACAAACTAGAGAATGCATGTAAAAACTCAGTGAATTTAGGTATTTATTTAGACTTGTAATGTTTCTCTAATGAGCCTTTTCTTACAATGAACACAAAATTGAAAACAGATCATACATATATCTCATAGAAGAAAATTAGGTAAGTAACTTATAGAATCACCAATCACTAAAATACTATGCAGAAATTAAAATTTATTTGATAATGTTAATTATAAATAATAAGCTATAAAAAGTATGAATTGTATAATACAGTTTTACTAAAAGTATAGTTGTACATGACATAAAGAAATGAATGAATGATAAAAGCCTAGAGAAATATATCAAAATGTTATCAGTGGTTATGTCTAAGAATGGGAGTAAGGTAATCTGAAATTTTATCTGTATTTTCCATTTTTCTAAGATTGCTTATGTAATGTTTTAAAAATAATTATACAATAAATAATGAAGTAAATATGGAATATCAAATACACATTTTAATACTAACAAGTCAAACCTTTTGCACAAAAATTTAAAAAAAGAGAGGCCCAGTAGATTTATTTCCTAACAGAACTCTTGAGGTTATAGAGGTTACCATAACTGCTTCTCTGTCACATATATTTCTGTTCTACACCCTTTAAGGTATACGCTCGACAGATTGTGAATGAGGTAGAGAGAGAAAACGGCTACAGAAACCAAACCAAACAGGGTTAGTACAGAGGAAAATGAGAAAAGCATGGGAAAAAGGAAGACATTTGGTTTGTATGTAAAAAGATGAAAACAAGACACTAGGTCCTAGAAAGTTAGTTTTGAAATATGCAAGTCACTAAGTAGATTCAACAATACTTCAGTATACAATAGAAAAAGCCACGAGGAGATTTCTATTGATAAAGTTAAATATGCATTAGTCTAAAATACACAAAGTGTTCAAGGCAAGGAAATAATGGGTGAAGTTAGGATCCCAGTATAAAACATAGACTTGAGAAATCAGAACATATTGTAGAATTCTAACATATTTGTATCAGAAACATCAACTTTTCAGACTGGCACTGTCATCTCATGGACCATCTGCCTTGGTTGCCACATCCATAGTTGACTCCTCCCCTTAGTGCCATTCGGTTTAGCTTGTCTAAGAAGGAAGGCCATGCTATTCCCCACTGGTACCCACGACATAAATAGGCATACCCCAATTTCTGGATTTTCTTGTCACCTCTGGCCTTGGATGAGAAGACAATACCAGAAGGTACTGCATCTGGCTTTGAGGTGGCTGCTAAAACAGTAGAACACTGTAACCTGGGATTGAAGTGTTATTTACTTCCTTATTGGCAAACTCTAACAGGAAATGACCTGACAGCAAAGGGGATAAAAATGCTTTCTCTTCCTTTCCAAAGTCTGTAGTAAAATGCAGTTTCTTTATATTGCCTATTCGAAGATATCTTGAGTGGTAGAGAAGCCATGCCTATGGAATAACCAACTATTTCCCTGTCAGCTTATTATAAAATTATGCTCGGTAAGGTCTTGATCATCTTACACAACTTCTAATCCTACCTGAAATCACTTCCCTTTCCTCTCACTCTCACTGCGTATGGGATGATACTACTCAAATTAAGCACCAGCTCATAATCCTTGCCTCAGGCTCTGTTGTTGTTGTTTTTTTTTATATTTATTTTTTAGTTGTAGTTGGACACAATACCTTTATTTTATTTATTTTTATGTGGTGCTGAGGAGCAAACACAGGGCTCTGCATATGCTAGGCGAGCACTTTACCATTAAGCCATAACCCCAGCCCTCAGGCTCTGTTTTTAAGAAATTCAAGCTAAAAACCATTCTAATAAACTCCAGTCAAAATTAAAGCAAACTTTTTTAAATTTAAAATTTAAAACATTTTAAATTCCCAAACTTAAAATACTCAATTTCTTGCTTTTTTTAAAGATAATATTACCTTCTCCAATATTTACTTACAAATCATAAATCTCTTCCAATTTTAATATGAGTATGGATGATACATACACTTGTCCATCTAAGACGTATTCTATATCCCCTTTGAGATGCAGCTAACAGAGAAACTCATCTTTTTTTGTGGTCCTGGGGACTGAATCCAGGGATACTCTACCACTTAGCTACATCCCCAGCCCTTTCTATTTTTTATATTAAGACAAAGTCTTGTTAAGTTGCAGAGACTGGCCTTGAACTTGAGATCCTCCTGCCTCACTCTCCTGAGTCAATGGGATCATTTTGATTTTTAACACTATTAACTGGTACACTGAAATACTACAATCTAGAGTCTATAAATAATTTTTTTACAAGAGAAGAAAATGACAAATATTAGTCTTTGAATCAGAAAGCCTATTCCTTTGTTTCCATCCAAATATCTGCTATTAAATAAGGCTAATGAATAGTTGTTGAGTTTTACATTTTCTGGGTAATCTAGTTGCAGGGGACCTAAAATAGTGCTAGGCACATAAACCACCCAATAAATATTACTATGTGAAAGAGAGGAAAGGAGAAATGGAGAGAAAAGGGGAGAAGAGGAAATAGCAGGAAAACCATTAGACCAGATTCAATTAAACAGGATTCTAACCCCAACTGTCATCGTTGGGTGCTCCAGAAGTGCTTCTTCTTTCTGTAAGTATGCCTACCTTCCTATCCACTTATTCTACATAAATTTTTTAGGAAATATTTACTGACTAAAAATAATATCATCTCAAGGTATGATTATTGGTAATAGCCAACCTAGAAGTCCAGTCTGTTAGAATGTTGACTTGGATCCAATACCAAGATTAAAATGTTATATTGTCTGTTGATCTTCTGAAGTCACAAAACCAAAGGAGAGCTTCTGATTGCCATTTTCATACAATCTCAGTGAAGCAATGCATATTTAGTCCTTTTAGATTGCTTTAAAATTCCATTGTTAAAAATCAGTCAAATAAATGCAGATTAATCATTATAAATATACTAATAAGACTAATTTCTATCCAGTAGCTATGCTTATTTTGCCAATTACTTAGAAGTTAAATGGTTATAAGCACTCAAAAGAAATCTAACTACCTACTTAGTAGTTTGAATTAGATCTATATTTTCAGGAAAATTCAGCAGAATTTTCTAATTCCTATTTTCTCAGTTAGGCATAAGAAAATAAGAAACTCAATGTGAGAAGTAAAAGTCTTAATGAGGAATGAGCCATTAGAGAACTGAAAATTTCATAATGGTTCTTCACAAATTAATTGAAAAAAAGAATAAAGATTGGATAATGGACCCATACTTTCAAATGTCTGCTTTGGAAGAACTATGGATAAACACAAAACTTACCTTCATTTTTGCTTGTTCAATGAATTCAAAACATTCTGGAAAATAAGACAGGATATTGGTTTCAGGAAGGTCCAATATAGAAATGCTTTTATACGTAAACTCATTGAAGAAAGCATTCTCAACTCCATATGCAACATTAAGAATATGAGTCACCTTAAAGAGAAAGAAAAAGATGAATTTACTTTCTCTTTATTGAACAAAGAGAAAGAGAGCCTTAAATGTTGAAACTTCCTTTATAGATGTTATCCTTTGTAAAAGGGGGACTTTTATTCTGTTCTCAGGGGATTCTCTATGGCTTCGTCTTCTCAAAATAAAAAGCTGGCTGTGTTGCCAAAAGCTTAGTCCTTGTCCCTGATGCCAATCCAATAACGAGGACATGTTTTTCAGAAAAAAAAAAAAAAAAAGGAAAACGAAGGTTTTGCTTTGCTATCAAAGGAAAAACACAGGGACTTCTGTCCCAAAGGCTGTTATTCTGACCATCAGCAGGAACAGGTGTTTTTTGTTTGTCTTTGATACTGGGGAGTGAATCCAGGGGTGCTTAACCACTGAACCACATCCCCAGCCCTTTTTCATATTTTATTTAAAGACAGGGTCTCACTGAGTTACTTAAGGTCTCACTAAATTGCTGAGGCTGGCTTTGAACTCATGATCTTCCTGCTTAGCCTTCCAAACTGCTGGGATTATAAACATGCACCACCACAACCAGCTAGGAACAGAGGGCTTTTAAAGAGGTGACGCAAAACATACATTCCATGTGTTCTCTGTTGGAATTGTAATTCCTGTTCATCTCAGTATTTGCAGAGTTATTTTTTCTTCTGTTTTATAGCTATTATATATTCTATGTCATGAGTGTACTATTGTTTATTTAACAAGTTCCCTATTGATGGACAGGAAGGTTGTTTTCAGTAATTTGTTATTATGACCATTGCTGCAATTTTACTTGGAACATTCTTTTTTTTTTTTTTTTTTTAAAGAGAGAGTGAGAGAGGGGAGAGAGAGAAAGAGAGAGAATTTTTTTAATATTTATTTTTTAGTTCTCGGCGGACACAACATCTTTGTTGGTATGTGGTGCTGAGGATCGAACCCGGGCCGCACGCATGCCAGGCGAGCGCGCTACCGCTGAGCCACATCTCCAGCCTCACTTGGAACATTCTTTATGTTACACTTAGTTTTTCATCTTCCAAAGTACTTTATTGGGCACACACCAGGGCACTCAAAGAGCACATTAATAATGCAACCATTATTACCATTTCTAAACATTAAAATTAAATTCCTATAGAAATTTCTAAAGTGGTCCTTCACAAGAGAACTTCCACTGGTTACACCATTTTACTTAAATCCTACGATGTCACTTTGAAATCTGCCATTCTTTAAATTTATAATTTTGTTTGGCAGCACCCTTAAATTTTTCTAGAACACTCTATTCAGCAACTTAGTTTAACTCTGTTTTCTCCAAGCACTCTTAACACTGTCACTATGAACAGACATAGCAGTATCTTTTAAACAGCCTCTTGTTTCACATCTCTAGGATGAATGAACTAGTGCAGCATAAGAGGAGAAAGAAGAAAAGCACTTGCCAACACAAAATTTATCAAATTCCATTTGTCATTTCAACAACAATCTGTCACTGGATTTAAGACTTTGAAACGTGTTCTACCTTTGTTAAAATATTGTTATACAATATTTCCTGTTAGGAGCTGCAGTGATTCTCATATTCTTATGTAATCAAAGGCCATTATTTCTCAAACTAAGGAGAGCCTGGTTAAACACAAGGCAGTAAGCTGACAAATAAAAACATCAGATTAATTAATGAACTGATTAATAATTATTTTCCTTGGAGAAATGATTGCAAGGTGTTTATCACATACATTTTTTTTAAATCCTCAATTCAATTTTTTTAACCAAGCAGTGGATAACAAAGATAAATAGAATAAGGTCTTTATGCTTTTTTTAATATTTATTTTTTAGTTATAGGTCCACCTGACACAACATCTTTATTTTACATTTATGTGGTGCTGAGCACAGCCCCAGTGCGAGCACAGCCCCAGGTCTTTATTCTTGACAGGTCTGCTTACTAATAGAGGAGGGGGAAACATGTTTATCAGTGATAATAAAATAAGGCAGAAGGTGTTAAGAGCTATAACCAATTGTCAAGGGGTAAAAGGGGAAGAAGAGATTACAGAACTTGCTCCCAAGATCCTTCACATTTGCTCTTCTCTCAACCTGATGTGCCATTTCCCATTGAGGCTATGGCTGACTATCATAAGGTCTCAAATGAAATGTCCCACCCTCAGATAGTTCTAGGTGAACCCAAGTTATCCCCTGCCACTACCTCATTGCCTTATTTTACTTATTTTAAAGAACACATTCACATCTGAAAATATCATATTTTAAGAGCAGACACCCTAGTGCTTATTCATTTCCATATTTCCTGTAGCTAGAAAGGGGACTAGCACAAAGAAGGTGCTTGATATTTTCTGAACATTCTGGAAAATAAGACAGGATACTGGTTTCTTTCTCACACTCTCCACTTCTCTTCTTTTCTGTCCCCAAAAGCATCAGCCTTCCTCCTGCTTCTGGGGCTTCACTTGTACTAATTCTTCTATCCAGATACCGTTCTGACTGTCCCTGTCCCTCACTCAAAGCAAAATTTCAATACTACTTCCTCCTCGACTCTCCTATCTGCAAACAAGACAAGCACCGGTTGAGGGCATCATCTCCTAAGCATTCCTATGACAGCCTGCACTACCCACATCAAAGCACACAACACGTTACAGCAGTTTTCTTTTCCTTCTCAGCCAGTCAGAGCATAAGCTTCATGTGAGCAGGAATCTCCTGCACTCCTCAAACCATAGCAATTCTATGATCTGAAACAGTGCTTGACACAATGGGTAGATGGCTAAAAAAAATTTGAAGTAAATACTGAAAATAAGTAATAAATCACATCACTTGTGTGATAAAAAATGGGATTGGAAGAGGCAGCATGTGAGTTGGACTCAAAGCATGAGTAAGTCTTTGACAAGCAGAGATGAAGTCAAGTCTATCATCCTACACAGAGGAACTGCTTAAGCAGAGGCAAGAATGATATGTCTCCAAGATCAGGTTCATGAGGATATGTGAGGGAGACAGAATATAAAATTGAAAAGAGATTACAGATTCACATATTTTAATTAGATGCAATTATGTTTGGAATTTTATTAAAATGACAGCCAAAATGTTAACAATTAAACTGAAATATACCAAATATGGGCCAATACAATTTTCCTAAATAAATATAACAATTAAAACACTTCCTATATGTGGTGCCAGACTTGAAGCATTTTTTTACCTTGTGCTTTTTCAGTACATCCAGGTCGTGAGCAGCATCTTGTGACCCTATAAGAAATAAATCATATCACCTTCAACATAACCATCTTGACTTTTTATATAAACTTGTACAACAAATCCATTAGTTAACTCTTTAACAATGACAACTTGGGAGGACTTCAGTTTAATTTTCTTTTAATATTGTTTTAGTTGTAGTTGGACACAATACTTTTATTTTATTTATTTTTATGTGGTGCTGAGGATAGAACCCAGCAGCTCGTTCACACTAGGTGAGCACTCTACCACTGAGCACCAATTCACTCCAGCACCAATTCAGTTTAATTTTCTGAATAGCAATTTGTTAATATCATCACAAAAGGTTAAACTTGTTTATACCCTTAAACTTTCCCAATTCTAAGAATTTGTCCTAAAAGTTATACATGTTGCAATAATTATCTATAAGGATGCTCATCATAGTATTGTTTATAATGCAAAAAACCAAAACAAGAACAAAAACAACTAAAGGTCCAATAAAGAGGCTCAGTTAAATAAAATGCATAATTATGTAGGGAAACATACATAAGAAATAAAGAATATCTACAGTGTGGAAACAAGTTCTCAATACATTTTATTTTATTATTATTAAACCCCAGGTTCTCTACCACTGAACTACATCCCCAGCCCTTTACATTTACTTATTTATTTTGAGGCAAAGTCTTGCTAAACTGATGAGGCTGAACTCAAACTTGAGATCCTACTGCCTCAGCCTTGCAAACTGCTGGGATTACAGGTGTATGCCACCACACTTACCAAGTTCTCAATATTTAAAGTAATTAAAAGCAGCCTACAAAATATCATCACACATTTTTATAAAGACCAAAAACTTACGCTTTGAAAATAGGAAGTATATAGAACATAATATTAATAGTGGTGGTGATAGGTGATATATTTCTTTATATTCATTTGTATTTTTTATATTTATTTTTTAGTTTTAGGTGGACACAATATCTTTATTTTTTATTTTTTTATATTTCTTTTAGTTGTAGGTAGACACAATATCTTTATTTTATTTTATTATTTTTTTTAAAGAGAGAGAGAATCTTTTTTTTTTTTTTAAGATGGACACAACACAATGCCTTTATTTTTATATGGTGGTGAGAATCGAACCTGAGTCCGCCTGTGCTAGGCGAGTGCTCTACTGCTGAGCCACAATCCCAGCCCCCTTTATTTTATTTTTATGTGGTGCTAAGGATCTAACCCAGTGCCTCATGCATGCTAGGCAAACACTCTACCAGTGAGCCGCAACCCCAGCCCTCATTTGAATTTTTTACAATAAACACCTCTTTTTTATAATTTATAAAAGATATTATGAAAATCACAACCACAAAATGACTTAGTGCCAGCTGGTTTGGGAACACCCAGTAGCTTAGACATCTATAGGATTCCACCCACACAATCCACCTACCACTAGGGCTGTTCTCTTTTTATAGAATCTTTCTATCCAAGTGGGCTTTCCAGTTCTCCCACACTTGGAAACTGGCTCTAGTTAATTAGCAAATCTTACATGAGAATAACTTGTTAAAATAAAGCAAATTTTATACTGAAAGAATAGGGCATTGAATTTAAGAGTTTCAAACATTTACTTTCCTGAATTAGGTTCTATTTCCATAAACAGTGTTTTTCTCACCTTAGTTGCCTGGGAAATCAGCCAGCTTTTATTAATGATCTCAGGTAGCCAAGGGCCCAGAAAGTATACTATTTGGCTAATATTCTTCTCTTAATGATAACTAAACTCACAGGCTCTTTACTGAGCCAAACATTCAGCTTTATTCTACTTAAAAGTTGGCCTATCAAACTATAAATGTTTATTAAAGCTGGATAGTAGATACCTAATTGTTATATTATTTTCCATAATTTTCTATAAATTTGAAATATTTCATAATTTAAAAGAAATTCTTAGTTTTCCACTGCAGGAAGTCCTAATCATCTTGGGAGGGGGGATTCAAATAAGTTTAACTTAAATTTGGCAGTTTAATATGCAAGTCATCTTTTAAATAATAATTCTCCATTTCTTAAAATAGCACAAACTGAAACACGACTTAAATAAAATTCTTTCTTTTTTACTCTAAACTGTCATTATTATACATATTTTTGACATTGAATGCTTTAATACTTTCAATTAAACATGCACACACACCAAATATAGAGCAAGTAGATTATATTTCAGAGCTGGCTATATTGATATAAACTAATATTCCTGAGGCAAAAAAAAAAAAGTAACTTGTATGTTCTGTCTTTCCAAACAAAAAGAAAATTAAATGACTGTTAGTAGCATGAGGAAACCATTGAAGCCAACAGAAATGACTTCAGGCAATCAATATGTGTTTTTCATATGATACTTGATAATATTCAGTGCAAGTTCATTCTAAATTTTAGATACAAACATCAGCTTTTCTCCTATCTTAAAAGGATGCTTTGTGTTGCAGTCTTGTGTTAAATTTTTGGGGGAGGGTACAGTGAGAAGGGTTGAATCCAGGGGTGCTTAATCACTGAGTCGCATCTCAAGCCCTTTTTATTTTTTATTTTGAGACAAGGCCTCACCAAATTGCTGAGGCTAGTGATGAACTTTCGATCCTCTCCATTAGCCTCCCATGTTGATAGGATTACAGGCATGTACCACTGCACCCACCTTTGTGTTAGAATTTCAGTAATAAATACTGAAAATCATATATTCTAAAATGAGTTATTTAAAAAACAATTGTTTTGGAAAAGCAAAATGTCATCCTTTTGCAAATTAATTTAAGTGAAATAAAAACATTCTATTTTAACAGTGGTTACATAAATCTATACTTGTGTTATGATGTATAAACTGGGCTAGGATGTAACTCAGTGATAGAGTGATTGCCTGCATATGTGTGAGGCCTTGGGTTTGATCCATAGCACCTCCCAAAAAAAGATTCGTAGAACTATACCAAATCAATTTTATTGTATAATTTTTTTAAAAGAATTAATGAATGGGAATACAACTGAACAATATAACTAGTAAAAAGCTAGTTATATTTTACATTGACACAACCACTCCAATATTCATTAGCATAGGTAAGGATTATTATTTAAATATTACAGATTACATACTAATTTAGAAAGAGTATATATTATAGACTATTGGTACTGAGGCTTCTAATAAGTTAGGTGTTTGGCAATCAAAGTGTAGAAATCATAAGACACAGGCTATGCAAGATCTCTATGCCCGTTTCTATTTTTCAAAGAAATCATTTTAATGAAAATATCAAACAATGTATATACTCTGATAACATATCTTAAATTTACAAATCACTATTGTCATAATCACAAAACAAAACCAAAAAGTTATTATATTACCACAGAAGAAAATAAATGATATTCTAAAGAAACGTTTCATTTGAAAAAAATCATAGTAGTAAACATTCATTAGTGAATTAAAATAGGAACTTAAATTACTATGAGGATTAGATAACAGGATATTTATGAAAGATTTTATCTAATAAAGTGCTACACAAATTTATACAAATTTAAAATATTATCTGCCTCCCAAGAATCCTGTGTTTCCTGTATCTCAGATATATAAACCACATAAAGTACCTCATGCTTTTTATGGGGAATGGAAGAGAAAATCTCTAAAATGTCACCAGTTTATACACCTTAGCAGAATGGATATAGGAAATAATTAGTGTGCCTTTAAACTACCCAGCAGAAATGGAAATTTCTACGTTTTCAAATCAAGTTAGATTTATCAAAAGTCCCGGTGGTTTTTGTCGTAAAATCATAATTTGCAAAACTTAGGACAAAAATGTTTAATAAGATCTTTTATCCACCTGTTGGATGGTTCAAGGGCCAATGTGAGATTTTTTTTAAAAAAATTTCATTAGACTCTGTCTATAAACTAACTGAAAAAGACAGTTTACATTTTTACAGGTCTCCATTTTCTGCATAGCACCAAAAATAAAAGTTGTTTGGTATGCATTGCTGAGAAGAAACTGTGGGTCTTTGGTGAGGTGAAGGAAGCTTTTAAAACTAACCTGGAAACAACCCCAGTCTCCCTGAAAGAAACCAAGTCCAGGCAGAAACAACCCCCTGCATCATTCATGTGGAAGAACTTTATATGCACATATCATGGATCCCTTAGGAATAAGGCACTTATAACTAGACAAAAAGGTCCTTCTGTCTTTCAAAAGAAAGAAGGTTGTGCCTGATCAAAGTGTCCTATTTCCTAGTCCAGAGAGGAGACTGGTTTCAAAAACCCCTCCCCAAACTCTCCCAAGATCTTGGGGAGGATTCCAACTCCAATCTAAGAACATTAGCTTGATCAACTCCATTTGGATAAAGTCACATTAAAAAAATAAGCAAAGTTCATGAAGACTCTGAATTGGCAAATAATAAAAAGTAACCACAATTGTTTTAAACTAGTATTGCTACAATGTCAGCCAAATAAGTGAAAAATTGCGCCTAGATGTATTTCAGAGTATGTATTTCAGAGTATGCAGAGTTCAGTATTTCTACATAACAAGAAATCATAAAACCATCAGACTCACAGCTATAAAATAAAAGCACTCCTCCTAAAAACTCCAACAAGACACCATGAAGAGATGTGGCCACAGAGGGATGCATTCCATAAGGTTTCAAACAACTTTTCTATACCTTTATCGCTTCTTGTTTTGTCTAGTAAAACACTTTTAAATTTATTCTTTCAAAAGATAGCCTTTTGTAATTCTAGAAAACACAATATCTGTCTGTTTTGCTCCAGATAAGTTAGAAAAAATAGGGCGGGGGAAGCTTTTTTAAAAAATTCAAGGTGCTAAGGGCTACTAGAATCCATGCTTCTTAGGGGCATAATGTGGGTACAGAAACTTCTCTATGTGGCTAACGGAAGTTCCATATTCAAAAAAGGAAACATTTCAATGTTTTGATAGCATAGCTGATAGTACAGGCACATAAAGAGGTGAGGTCTCCTGAGAAAGTAATTTAGTTTTAACTCAGTGACTTACCCAGAAGCAACCATGGCTTAATAACGCCAACTTGCAGGTCCAAGCTAAGGTCCTGCACATAACCACAACCAACCCCCTCGCTTGGCTGTACTTCTTCCACAACATGAATTCTGGCATCTTTCCATGTTTCTATAATTTTCTTTCCAGTTAGCGTTGTCACCCTGGTGCATTGCTTCCTGAGATTATTCCGGGAGAATGCTTTAATTTCCTGGCTAAGGGAGTGCATTACATGAGCAGTGGCTGGGAACAAATGCAAGCAAATCCAGCAAACACAGAGAAGGGCTGAACTGCTCGTCCCTTATTGCTCAGGTAATAAATACAGCCGCGGGGCGCTTGCCTCCCCAGGTGAGGCGTTAGGTAGCCACCACACCCTGGGAGACCTGAACAGTCCCACAGTCTTTTTCCCACAGCCGCGATGTAAGGCGACATTTGATTGGCCACTGAGAAACGGGCGCCGATTGGATGCTGATTCTTTTTCCTGTTTGGCTCGAAACCTGCGTTTTTTCCTGCAAGGGATAAGAGATCGGCTGGAGAGTCGTCGAAATCTAGCTTTACTATACACGTAGAATGCTAAAATATAAGACTAAATTGGAGAGAGGGATGCTATCTTCCAGCTCTTTAAAGGCAGTGACTTTATGGACACGTTCAGTTGGTTTAGTCACGTTAGCGACTGAATGATGCCGGCTACCGTGTGTCGCTCCTCTTTAGCGAGGCCGCGGAAGTCACAGTGCAAATCGTCCTACTTTGCCTGGCCGACTTGCCTCCTGATTTTTAGATCTGTCAGGAGTGGGCTACTGCAGATGTGATGAAGTTATTTCTCTTTTCCTGTGTCCTTCTCACCCTTTCTTTATGCTGGAATGTTTACTAAACAAAAACTGCTGCCTGTATTTGTGAGACATCAATTTAAATGAAATCCGAAAAAATAAAAATTTAAAAAGGTATTGAGAAAATTTTAAATTACATTCCTATATAAATTAGCAAAACTTAAAATTTATGAATTTTCTGACTTTCCGCCTACATTTTCACCTGCTGAAGAACTGTAGAAGGCTTAATGTGGTAAATATGTACTCTATTTATAAAAAGCATTGCACCAAGTCCATCTATATATAATTGAGAAAAATTAAGTGTGCAAACATCCAAATTTACAAGACAGATAAACAGTAGAGTGTTTTGATGACAAAAGGATGATTTGTTTTACTAAAGAAACAACAAAATTTCTTCAAGAATTTTCCTGACCCTTAAAAAATAAAGATTGAAGCCTGGTGCTGTGATGCATGGCTGTAATCCCAGCGCGTTGGGAGGTTGAAGTAGGAGGATCCTGAGTTCAAAGCCAGTCTTAGCAATTTAAAGAGGTCTTGAGCAACTTAAGGAGACCCTGTCTCCAAAACAATTTTTTTTTTTAAAAAAAGGAGGAGGTGCTGGGAACGTAGGCTCAGAGGTTAAGCGACCCTGGGTTCAATTCCTGGTACCAAAAATAAATAAATGAATAGAGAGATTTTTAGATGAATTCAGGCACAATGTATAAATACATGTATAAAATGAAGATATTGTACTTATGAAAATCTGTGCTCCAATACCACACATTAAAATTTTTTATTATTTAAACTTTCTGGCAAACTTCTATGAACTAAATGTTTGTGTCCCTTCAGAGTATGTATGATTAATCTGTAATTCCAGATGTGATGATATTTAGAGGTGGGACCTTTGGGAGGTATTTAGAGTCAGATTATGTCATGAGGGTAGGGCCCTCACGATGAGTGAGATAAGTGGTTTAGCGAGAAACGGAAGGGATCTCCTCCCTCTCCTTCTAGAGTGGCAGGGAAAGGCCATGTAAGGACAGAGGGAGAAGTCAGCTGTCTGCAAACCAGGAAGAGAGTCCTCACCAAGAACCTTGAATAACCCAGCAACTTGATGTTAAACTTCTAGTGTCCAGATCATGAGAAATAAATTTCTGTTGCTTAAGCCACACAGGTTATGGTATTTCATTATGGCAGTCTGAGCTGACTGAGAGATAAACCAAAATCTTTCCTCTTGAAAAGAAGTTATCATCCCAGGTTATCTATGGGGCGCTCCAAAATGGAGAAATTATTTGCATCACTTAAACAATCTTGGGCTCACTAAAACAACTCTAACCAGAAATAAATCCATCTATTTGTCAGAACAATGATCAAAAAAGTAACCATCAGTCATTGAGCACTTATTACATGCTAGGCACTGTCCTTACAAATAATTTTTAGATTTTTATGTTATACATTAGGCACCTAACAATGCTTTAGTCATATTATCCCATTTGATTTTACCACAAGCCTGTTAGATACATCCTTTTGCAATCATCTATGTTTTGCAACTGAGGAAATTTAGATGCAGAAAGCATATATCACTTATTTATTCTACCTTCTGTAGCTAATGAATTCAAGACTGTAAATAAAACCTAATATTGTTTTAGTCCTGTATCTTAGTTTTATTTACTATGGAATATTGCCCTTCCCCCCAAAAAAATTGTACGTAACAAATATATATTAAACACCAACCATGTACTAAGACTGTTACAGTCACTGGGGATATAGCAGTGAGTTAAAGCCTTTCTTGTCTTATGGAGCTTTTATTCAAATGGAGTGGATGAACAGATAAAAAACAAAAGTGTGTGTGTATAAAGCCATGTTGTGTCATCATTTAAATGTTAAAAGGAAAAATCAAGTCAAATAAGGGAACAGAGTGAAATGGCAGTGTGCTGTTTGCTAAAAGTTGATGAAAGAAATCACCTCTGATAAAAGATAATTTGTTTTTGTTTTTTTTTAGATGGGATCTCACTATGGTGCACAGGCTGGCCAATCATCCTCTCTCAGCTCCTGAGTAGCTAGGATTACAGTCATGTGCTCAGCTTTAATAAAGTGAATTTTGAACAGAGACTTGAATAAAGTGCAAAAGCCAGCCCTGTAGATATCTGGGGGAGAATTTAATAGGAAGTGTCTAAACGTAACACATCTAGTGTCTATATCATGTGCTTTGCCAAGTGCTAAGACAGTACCCTAGTGGGAGGTATTGGGATAGTGGGTAAAGGTTCAAGAAATAGCCAGGTGGCTAATGTGGCTATAAGAGAGTGAATTTAGAGGAGATGAGGTCCAGAGAGAAATGGTAATCACTTTGGATTGTATTCTGAGTGACATGGGAAGCCACTGGAGGGATCGAGGAAGAACAGTGATGTGCTACACTAACAAGATCCTCCTTGTTTCCCCAGCTGGGAGAACTACTGACTGACTGGTGAGAGTCCCTTTGGGGCCTCCCTCAGCTACAAAAGGCTGCTTTCTAAGGATATGTTTTTCACAGAATAGACTCCAACCATGACTAATCCATGAGGAAGCATAGAGGCCTGGCCATGTTTGGCCCAACTTGGGACAACTCTAAAGGACCACTGTGGCTCTGAGAGCCAACATATTGTTAGCTGAGACTGTCATCAGGTCTGCATAACCACTTGACTTCTCTGTCTGCCCAATTGTGCTTCATTGTTTTCTTCCACTGCTAAACTCTGACTCAGTTTGCTTCCAAGGAAATTTAATCTGTGACAAGTGATTTGATATTGCTTTTTCTGTAAAGGGTTTCTTCTGGCTGCTGTCAGGAGAGGAGGCAAGATAGAAGCAGGGAGATTTGCTAAGAGGCTACTGCCGTGATCCAGATGGAAGAGGACAGATGCTTAGGCTAGAACGGCAGCAGAGAAGAAGAAAGCAAGTAGGTATATTCTAGATACAGATGTTTGACTTAGGATGGAGTTACACCCCCAATAAACTAATCATAAATTGAAATATTTGTGTCAGAAGTACATATTATGCACCTTACCTACTGAGCAGCATAGCTTGGTAACACAGCACCTGTAGAGCACCAGTTGTTTACCCTTGTGATGGTGTGGCTGACTGGAGGCTTACAGCTCACTTACTGTCTTTGCCCACCATCATGAGACAGTATCAAACTTCATATTGCTAGCCTAGGAAAAGATAAAAATTCAAAATATGTTTTCCACTGGATGAGTATCACTTTCATACCATTGTAAAATCAAAAATCATAATCAAACCATCATAATCAGGACTGTCTAGATATAAGGATTTGTTAGTAGATCAATGTAAGGAGATTTGGATGATTCCAAAGTTTTTGGCCTGAGAAACTGAATAACAAACTTGTTATTTTCCAAGAAAGAGATAATGCAGAAATGAAAAACAGTTTCAGATCTTCTAGGCTTTACCTGCCTATTATTCAGCCAATTGTAGATGTCAAGTGGACAGTTGCACACTGTGAATCTGAATTGCAAATAAAAAAGGCATCTTCTGAGCTAGGCACAGTGACTCATGCCTATAATCCCAGCAGTTTGGGAGGCAGAAGCAGGAGGATTGCAAGTTCAAAGCCAGCCTTAGCAACTCAGTTAGGCCCTCAGCAACTTAGTGAGATCCTGTCTCAAAGTAAAATAATAAAATGGGCTGGGGATGTGGCTCAGTGGTTAAGTGCCCCTGAGTTCAATCCCTGGTACCAAAAAAGAAAAGTATCCTCTGGAGGAATAATCAGCTCAAAGACGGCACTCAAAGCTGTGGAACTAAATGAGATGATGTGCTACTGAGGGTTGCTAGCAAAGCCCCACGGATGACTCATTCAGGGGTTGAGATGAGGCAATGAGGAGGATTCAGCCAAGAAGATAAAGAAGGAGAGGTCCAGGAGGTAGAAGAAAAGGAGAAAGATAGTTCCAAGAGTACAAGAATGTGTTTCAAAGCAGATGGTATGATCAACTGCGTCACACGCTACTGAGTGTTGAATAAGGTGAAGATTGAACACTAATGCTAGATTTAAAAGCCCTCTCAATAAAAACAGATGGTATGTCCCTGAAGTATACAAATGCTACCTGATTTCATACATATGACAACCCAGTGAGGTAGTATTATCTACTCTATGTTTTTGTTTGTTTGTTTGTTTTGTTTGTTTGGTACCGGGGATTGAACCCAGTGGCACTTTACCACTGAGATACACCCCCAGCCTTTAAATTTTTTTTATTTTGAGACAGGTTTTCACTAAGTTGCATAGGGCCTCACTAAATTGCAGAGGCTGTTTGCAAACTTGTGATCCTCCTGCCTCAGCCTCCCCAATCTCTGATATTACAGATGTGCACCACTGTGCCCAGCTCAACTCCATGTTTACGAATAAGTTGAAGGCTTTGCCTTTGGCCACAATTCAGATTTCTGTGTTAGGTTCTAGTAACAAGGTTGGTTGAACACAATACAAGAGTCCATGTCCTTTGCAACATGTTATTCTACAAAGGATGGTAGCATTGTTTGCATTTTATAGCTACATTCCCTACTGATAATGCTGGGATACTAACAGGACATCAGTAATAATGGATGTTAATACATTGATTTTTAAACTCTATGTGACATTTTACAGAAG